ATCGTGAAAGTTCTCACGACAAGCTAAGAGATGGTCCCGGCGACCGTCTTTGTGATCCTCAGAATAAACTCTACGCTTGTTGCAACTAAGTTGTGACTACGAAGCAGTTTGGTTTTTACAAAAAGTCGATCGTTCTTCAAGCTACCAGAAATTCCGGTCGCAGCAATCAACTTCTGATTACGACAACGAATTTTTTTCCGTGTTGATGTAATGTGTGTGTGGGGGCTGCCACGGTACGGTGTTGGATCGCCCATCCCCCGGTCGCATCTCTGATCCGGCGTCCGGCGTAGTGGTGCGGCGCGGCCTTGAAGCTAGCGGAAGGCAGACGACTGCTCTGACCGCCCAACAGTCATAACCGCAACTCACTGCAGCACAAGTGGGTCACGAGGGCCTCGAACGGCTGCTTCTGATGCTGCTGCTGCTGCTGCTGCTAGGGGTAGGAGGCCGCAGACAAGAAGGCCATAACGACTGCGGACGTCCAAGTCGCGACGCTGCCGACGCCGGCAGCCTAGTCTGCTCTTGCACAAGTCGTTGGCGTCTCGACGGCGTCGCCGCGCGCCTTGAATTTCAAACGGCGTGGAATTTCGTGGGAGCGTCCGGCCAGCGTCGCGCGCCGTTAGTTTCTTACAAAAGAGATCCCCTTTAGTGCTGCGATGAATTAGGTTTATAATCAGATGTTCTGGGGCAGCAATTTCGCGACTAACTACCCTTTGGTCGATATGGTGCAGCTTGTTTCTTAGATTTTGTGCCAAACATCAGCGTTTGTTATTACGAAGGATTGGGATTGTCGCACAAAGGATCCATAACCATGTTTGCAAAAGACTTTTCTTCATGCACATAGAGTCCCTACCCAGTCAAACACTTGAAAGTGTGCAACATGATGTTGAGCACTTGCATGTGCACGCCAGTTGAACACTTTAATTACCAGTGCTGGAAGTAATGTAAGGACAAGAACATTTTAGTGGTGTAAAATTCTGCACGCAGAGGAGAAGCAGTTTTAGGAGGCGAGGCTCTGTAACAACCGCCAACCCCTCCCGCCGCCGGCCTCTCGCCACTCGATGACCTTGGATGCAATGAGCCCCGGGCTGGCCGACGCATAGCCTGAACTTTCCACACCGCATTTACCCCTTCCCAAACACGCACGCGCGCACACACTCGGAGCCACCTCGTAACCCACGCTCGCACACCACCACCTCGCGAAGAGGAAACACCGCAGCTCACACCAAACAATTCACACTCGTGCACACATCTCGTGTGCGTCTCCTCTCTCTCTCTCTCTCTCTTTATCCCCCGTCTCCTGCCCCTCTCTTCAGCTGCCTGATCCTTTCCGGGCTGCGGCGCACAATTCTCCTTGCTCTTCCCACATCAGCGACACCTCCTACTCCGACAGGCAAATAAATCATTGAGCATTGAGCACTGTAAAAGATAATCATGACAGAAGAGCCCTTAATATCGCCCCTCTTCGCCAAACGGCAAAAAAACTTTTGCATAGTTTGTTCGTATAGATGTTTTGAATTGAAACTTTATTATAAAGAGGTTGAGTTGGTTCTAGGGGTGTGGAACTGACCAAAAAAGTGTACACATGATTGTGTCTAGACAATCATTGTTCCAGATTGTGTGTGATTGTGTCGATGGTTTTCTCTTATTGTTTCAGATTTTTGCGTAAATATTGGGACATGACATATTTTGAAAACTTGTGTCACGATTGTGTCTCATTTTGTGTGATTGCACTGTTATTCAACGAATGTGAAGTTGCATTTGCCAGAATTTGAATTGTGTCACGTTCGTTGGAATATAGTGTCACATTCGTCTAAACGTGAATCTGCTTGACCTGTCGCCTCCTATACTTAAATTCACGTTCCAACGAATGTGACACAATGTTCCAACGAACGTGACATAATTCACATTTAAACGAATGTGACGTCACATTCGTTGAATAACAGTGTCTTTCCGATTGTGTATGATTATTTAAGTAAGATAGTGTAGGATAGTGTTAATTTGTGTATGATTGTGTGTGGTTATGTCCGATTGTGTAATGATGCTTCTGCTTCTGTTTGTTTTTCCCGATGTACACATGTTGTGTCCAGTTTCCACACCCACACCCCTCGGGCTTGGTTAGTAGTAAATACGGCCGCACCGTGACAAAATACATAGGGACGCCCGCCGCCCGCCCCCTCCCCCGTTTTTCTCCATCTTCCTCTTTCTCCCCCTTGCTTGGTGCTTGCACAGGCACTAGAGGCCCTTCAAATAATTGGACGCCACTCAGTCGGCCTGAGGCGTGGCCCGGCGGCGTGGTGGTCCGAGATGACGGGAGCGTTTGGGCCTGTCTAGGCGCGGGTCGGGGTCGACTGGGACGATTGTCAAGGGCGCGCGGCCTGCGACTGGGCCTTAAAGCGGCCTTAAATACCGTGGCAGTCGGCGCGCAGGCAGGTGTTTTGCAGCAGACAGCGCATCACGCGGCTAGACCACCGCTCCCTCCTCCCCCCCCCCTCTCTCTCCCTCTCTCTCTCTCTCTCTCTCTCTCTCTCTCTCTCTCTCTCTCTCTCTCTCTCGCCGCCCTCGCAGTTCGATCTTGTTTCACCTTGGTCGCGTTTTACTGCCCCCTCCCCGCCTCCCCACGCCGTGCTCATCCCCGCCTCACATCTTGCTCCTCGTCTGCTCTGAGTCATCAATACGACGCGATGGGTAGCGGAGATGGGGGCCGCAACAGTGAGGAGGGGAGGGGGGCGACTGGTGTATTCTAGGGGTGGAGGGG